TCCTTCCATCCATCCATCCATCCATCCATCCATCCATCCATCCATCCATCCATCCATCCATCCATCCATCCATCCATCCATCCATCCATCCATCCATCCATAATATTTTATTCTATTATTGGTACTGCTTTATGGCCCCCTTAAATTCGATTTAGGCCAGATTTACTCATTGCTTTTAATTCTTCTTAATCCACAGACACTTCTGTTGCTTCACATGATGCCACCCTTCCTCCTCCTGCCTTAGCAAAGGCTGCTGTTTTGGGATACACAACAATGTTTGCCTCTGCTTGTTTGTTATTTTTTTAACCACATAAACATTGGCTCTGGAGCAAATGGAAAAGCATGTGTTGAGTGGTGTCAGTCCAAAAGCCTCTTGATCGCTGTTGACAGGCCTTTTATTTCTGACACATAGGTATGGCCTTAGCTAAGAGCCCCAAACATGTCCAACTGCTGACCTAGGCATGAGAAGTGATGGGTTTTTCTCCACTCCAGATCAATGTGTGATTATCAATAGAATCCCATTTCTGGTGGGGACTAAAGGCCTCTTTGGGTGTCTAGAAAAGGCTTGTTCTGGACCACTGAGGCAAGGGGATGCCAATGCTTGTTTTGGAGGGTGTATCAGGAAAAGATAGATAGAAAAGATAGATAGAAAAGATAGATGGCCCACTACTCTGCTGGTGATCTCCAAACGTGAACACAGAATACATTTCTTAAGGAAGCAAGAAGGATATTCAAAGTACAGTGGTGCCTCGCTAGATGGTGATGATCCGTTCCACTGAAATCACTGTTTAGCGAAATCATTGTCTAGCGAAAAGCATTTCCCCAATGGAATGCATTGAAACCTGTTTAATGTGTTCCAATAGGGAAGAATCATCGTTGTCTAGCGAAGCTCAGCCATAGGAAAGCCGCTTTGCGAACCGCCGATCAGCTGTTTAAATTGCTGTCTTGCAAAGCTTAGGTCCCGAAAACACCAATTTTGCGAGCGCAGAGGGAGCTGTCAAAATCGTTGTCTAGCGAAAATTGGTTTGCGAAGCAGGGACCATTGTCCAGCGAAATTCCCCCATAGGAATCATTATTTTGCAAATCGCTACACCGATCACAAAAAGTCAATGTCTAGCGAAAAAACTGTCATGTGGGGGTAACTGTCTAGCGAGGCACCACTGTAAATTTGGACATAGAGCCATCCTCAAACATTCTTCTGCCTGGAGCAAAGGATAAGATGACACCTTCTGCTCATAATGCAAACAGGAGCTGGATTGGCAAATGGACCTTGCTTCAACCCTGGCAATGAGATGCTAGTCTCCCACCACTCCAATTGGGGGGGGCAAGCAGGGAGCAGAACAGGTTGTATCCCATGTATCCCACTCTCCAGAGAGGGAAGGGAAAAGCAAGGAGCTCAATCTGCCCCCTCCCACCTCACAGCATTCTCGACTTGAATCGATCACCTTGGTCTGCCTTATGGTGTGGCCAGCCCTGCAAGCAAGAGCACATCAGCTCTCATTTACAAGGTATGGAAAAGAGGGGATTAAATGTGCGTAGCCCGTGTAGCCTTGGGACAAGCTGCGTAGTCCCAGGATGCCCCCAGAAGAAGGCAATGGGGAACCACCTCTGAGTATTCTCTACCTGGAATACAAGGGTTGTAGTCAGAACTGACTTGAAGGCACATGGTGTGTTTGTGTGTGTGTGTGTTAAAAAAGCACAGTTGCTTTTTAAATACACAGTTGCCTACACAGTCAAAGGATGACCAAGGATGTGACTTTTTTCTGTGCTTGTTTGGAGGTGCCATCCGTATTTCTCTCTATGTGTGTGTGTATTTAGCCTAGAAATAGAAAACATTATAAGTGAAGATCTACGATGTTTTTGAAAGCACGGATGGTTTAGGAGGCCGAAATCCATCTCTCTCTTCCTCTCAGAGCGCTGGAAGTGAAAGACACCGAACGAAATGGGTAGAGGCAGTCCGTTGCTTTGATAGATATTGTACAAAGAAGTATTTTCCCCCCCCCCCGCACAAAAGGCACAGGTTCGCGCCTTCCGAGCCTTGCTGCCCGGCACCACAGCTGGCCACCCTCCAAGAGCTTTCAAAAGACAAAGCTCGGCCCAACCACAAAGGTCGGGCTCAAACGCAGTTGTTAGCCGCACAGAGCCTCTCTGTTCCAAGGCAGTGTACCTCTAAATGCCAGGCAGTAACATCCCCTTTCTGTTAGCAGCCGGTCAATCAGCTTTGTGGAGAGCAGAGAAAAAGGCCCCCCTCGCGTGATGATGCTTGCTATGAACCACCTGTCTGTTCCCACCTCTCCGTAACCCCCTCCCCTCTCAGCCCCCCACCCCAAGCCTTGTGCCTTTTCTTCCTTCCTTTAAAAGATGCAACCATCACAACGCGGCGTCCTTGACGACTGATGGAAGTTGCCCGGTGAACCGGGAGATAGGGGGGCGACGACGCTTGCTATCCACGTGGGGGGGAGAAAGCCAAGGTGTCTCGATTCTCCCCCCCCCTTTGCCTTAACCTCCCTCCCCCTCC